ATTCTTTTTTCAGATGAAAAAATTTGTGATTTAGATGGAATGTATTATGTTCAATATAGGCAGTTAACAGTGCTGAAGCTGATGTAAATGGTAGTATTAAACGAAAATAAACTTTTCCAAATAAACTAATAGTTTTAAGGAAGTCTTGTCAGTGGCTAAGAACTTTGAAGATAAATTGATTTAGAGTAACCAAACTTACCAACAAGATGGTCGAAAGCGAAATATACATAATCTATCACAAGAATGGTACAAGGACAGTTTTCCAAATTTTATCGATAAAGATGATTGACCTTCAAATAATCTTAATATTAATCCTTTGGATTATTGTATATGGGATTTATTAGTCTAACAAATGAATTCGGATAAAATTAAATAAAATAAAAAAGCTCGTGTTAAAAAAAAGATGAAAAATTGTACTAATTGTACTAATCGATTGTATCGTTTGTCAAAAACTAACCGTAATTATTTACCATAAATAAACTAAATAGTTTTGTAAAGCATATTTAGCAAAAAAATTAACTCGATCGGACGAACACTTAAAAATGTATGGTCAAAATACAGAGAGAGCCATCTATTCTGCTGTACCCGTTAGAATACATACACTAACTACGAGAAGAAGATGATGAAATAAAAGACAAATATCCTAACGTAGTTTTTTGTTATCGAGTTATCGCTGTTTTATCCATGTAATATTGAGAAAGAGAGAGAAATCAAGTTATAGAATTGTAGAGACATTATATTCTAGACGAGATGAAAATGTCGTTAGGTTTATGGATGGAGAACTGAAAGTTATCAGAATATATTTATATTGAGACAAAAATAAATAACAATATTAAGACAGGACATTTGTTCTTGTCATTTATCTTCTCTTTTCTTTTACAAAAGGTTTTTCGTTCTTCTTTATATATAGATGATCATCCATAATCATCTATTATCATATGGATTTGTCAATGATTTAACCTTATCAATCATCGATATTAATTTAGCTACAAACAAAATGATTCGAATAGTTTTATATTTATTAATCATTTCATAGATGAAAAACAAAAACATGAATATTTAACTCAATAGACATATGAATGCATTCAATAAGGTAAAGAATAATTTAATATTGATTCCAAATTTTAAAATAAACTTATGATTATCAGTAGAATTTTTATAAATTTATAAAAAAACAAAAAATAAAAAATCTATTTTAAAAGTTTATTTTATAGTTAAATTAAAATAACAATTTGAACGAAAACAAAAAAATGCTCGAATAATAATGATAAAGTTTGTTGCATTAAATTATTTTTTTTCTTCACGTTTCTTTTTCAATGGATCTTGTTGTTGATCAAAACTTCGTTTAACTTTCTCGTTTGCTTGTGGATCTTTTTTGTTTTTATAAAAATTCTCATTTGCTGTATTTGAAGACTTACGAGGATCTTCAGGTTTTTTTTCCATGACGAATATTTGGATCAATATTACGATCACCCATTTGTGTTGCATCACGACGAGATAAATTTGTTAAATTTGATTTATCCATTTGATTTACTTTTGATGAATTCGATGTCATTATTCAATTTTATTAAGAAAATTTTAACAAATATTTATTTTTAAATAAATCAATTCGATTTACTTCCTAGATATTATATTAGACTAAGTTCATGCTTTATTATTAGTTGAATGTCATATAAATGAATGTCTCTGAGTACATATTCTTTTTCTTTCTCGAGAGAAAAACAATCGAAGACAAAAAAACGATCTATAGTCAGATGTCAAGACACCTTTTAGACAACGAATGCATTTTAGGATCAAAAATAAAATAAAATGAAATAAAACAGATTTTATTTCGAAAGAATATTAAAATTAGATTAACGCAATTACAGATATGAATTATGAGTAATTATGAGTTTATTCAACTTCCTTTTTATTATTATCTGAAGAAAAAGAACGATGAAAATGGTGACAGTTACAAGTTTAGTTTATTTAAACAATGAAAAAAACGACGATTTTCTTTTGTTGGATTTTGAGATAAACAATTTCATTAACGCTTATTAAAGAAATTTCTATTAGATTTAAAGCAAATCATTTCTTTTTCTTAATGTTAATCCTTGAAGTTTTTATAGATTTTTTTTATTCAACATCAAACAAAAATCATGATGAATAACAGACATCTTTGTTTTTATCAATTTTGAAAATTCATTGACAACAGACATCTGAATAAAAGATATCATTTCGTTTCTAGCTGCAAAAAAATATAGAGAAAAATAAAAAAAGGTACAAAAGATTGTTGTATCTTCTTTATCAGCTGTCATTCAGAGGTCGCACGAAGGTTCCCAGATTGGGCTTATAGAGTGTCTTTAAGAAATATTTCGCAGAAACAATAAAAATAAAAATATCTTGTTAGTTTAACTTGGTAATAACGAATTATTTTTAACTAAGAGGAGCTCCTATTTTCGCGGCTTATGATTTAATATACTATCAGAGTGTGCCATTATTTTTCTAATATGATTTTTATAAAATTGCTCTTTCTTTATATTCGTTTTTTTTCACATAAAACTTAACCCGTTAGATCGTAAAAAATCCTTATCTGAAAACAATGAAATACCTATTCTATACTATGACGTACGTAATACGCTAATGTATTGCTATATAGAATACTTGATAGTATTTTGGAGTTAATAACATACTCTTAGAGCTTATTTAAATGAATACTTCGATCTTATGTGCTATATCTCTATAAAATCTATCGCATTATATATATTTAATCGATACTCTATTACTAGTATCAAAGAATAATTTCAATTAAAATTGGTTATAATGGTCTACATATGATATATAATAGTAACGGATTATTGATATGAAATAAACGTATGAAATTTATTTTTTTTGCACATGTGTGTTCTAATCCGTAGAAAAATGAAACAAATTACGAATAAACCAAATAATATGATAGATCTAGTAGTGATCAATCAAAATAAAAGCAACATTCGTCTCATGCTTTTTCAATGAGAATAGAACTTTTCAAACTCATATCCAGTTGTCAGACAACTATATTCGATTATCTTGGATGATTTCGATAATGATAAATATATTGATATACTAGTGATTAATCAGCGCTCTAACAATATTGTTAAGTAACTATAATTTACTAAGTCTTTGGCCAATTGACTATCTTATTAGACTGATGCAAGTGAATAATCGTTAAATTTTCATTGCATTATTCCCTCAAACTACAGTGCAGCTATGCAATTAGACAAATCAGATTTAATTAGAAAAAAGTCTTCTTATTTCCACTATTCGGCTTTTTTCTCTATTTTTAGATGATTAACATCCAAATTCCATTGTTAATATGAACTTTTAGTATAAGTATGTTCTTTTCTTTTTTTTTTCTTAGTTTGTGTTCACTTTTGATTTTTTGGCCATATTTATGAATAGAGATGTAAACAAAGGATCTAGAGCCTTTTTTCGAGATATTTATTGAATTTTTTTAAATTTATGGAATATGTTTCCTACATCAACTTTTAAATGAATATCCTATGAAAAGATTCATTTTAATCAATTATTCTTTTCAAATCAAGGATATATGTCAAAAATGCGATTTTCGTCTAAATTATGCTTTTGGAAAGGGTTGATCAAGAGCAAAATCAGATCTGTATACTTTTAAACTACACACTTAGTATTAGAAAGTCTTGCAAGAATTGTCTTGGGATACTGTAGGATACCACGCAGAGCCTTATCGGATGATGAATCCAAAATTGGCCTCTTTCATGCTTAGCTGATTCAGATTTGTTTAGGAATTATTAAAAATGTTATATGATACGAAGAGAGTTTTTATTCCCTATTTATTTGTACTTAATTCCCTCTTAATTCAATTATATAACCTCTTTGAAAATGGCAATAAAATTTTTCGACTCAAAAGCCCGGAGGGAGGTACGGCAAAATTTCTTTCCGAAATCTCCGTACCTCCCTCCAGGATTTTGGGCCAAAACTTTTTTTTTGTTATTTTCAAAGAAATATAGTAGATAAAAATTTTCCTCGTATCATGTTACATTTTTAATAATTTCTAGATAAATCTCAATCAGTTAAACATGAAAGAGGTCAGTTTTGGGTACATCTTCCGATAAGCCTCTGCACGGTATTTTAAAACGTCTTAAGCCAATTTTTGCATGGCTTTGTAGTACAAAGTCTGTAGCTTAAAATGACACAGATCTGATTTTGCACTAGATCGGCCTCTCTAAAACTCGTGATTTTGACGAGAGTCGTCTGAGCCATAGGAATTAGCTAGAAAGCTGAATTTTTACGAGACTTAGTACTAAATGTGATCTCTCTATAGCCACAATGTCAATTCTCTAGCATGATCTGTCTAGTCGATATATAAAGTGGACCGTAAAAGTTGAAGACACTTTTATTTTTGAAGTTTTTCATCGATGATGAGTAGCTAAGTCAAATCGAAATAGTGATGTTAGATAGCTCTTGAAATTCCTCTATTATGATTTTCTGCAAAACTCTGTTGATAAAGTATCTTTTGAAAATTTGATATATATTCTATTCGATAGAGAATTTCAAGAGCTATCTAACATCACTATTTCAATTTGACGTAGCTACTCATCATCGATGAAAAACTTCAAAAATGAAAGTGTCTTCAACTTTTGCGGTTCACTTTATATGCATAAAACACGAAAAAGTGAAATTTGTTTCATGTAACTTGGCAGTCTTGGTCAACTTATAAATGGTTCATTGATTTGAACTCATTTTTTTTTCGGTAATAGAGAATGATGATATCTATTTAGAGTAAAAATTTCAAGTTAAATAGATATTGATGTTATAAAAAATTTCATATATTGACTGAGAAGCTTTCAAAAAAATTCAAATATTTTATGAATGAAACAATTTTTTTTCGAAACGGCTTGCATAGAAATTTATTATACACGTAAGAAAAACGAGTAAAATCAATGATAATCGACTGAGCAGGTTCGATGGTGATTTGCGTTAAATGTCTTCTATCTAATAAAAATTTATGATGTGTAAAGACTGTGTCTCTTTTGTTGTATAGAATAATCACGCATAAGAATAGAATCATTTTGCATTGATTTTGTAGTTGCTGATGAATTATATCTTGCATATTGAACGTCAATAGTTGGAAGACTGTAGGACGAAGGTGAAAGAAATGATGTTTTTGTTATATTCATATAATTTGTTTGAACATCAGAAAGTGACAGTGATGTATGGGAATTTTCTTTTGTAAATGATTGAATTTTGTTCGAATAAGTTAATTGATATTTTTTCTCAACAATATTATTATCATTTATATATTGATGACGATAATCAGGTAAATTATCCTGAATTAGATAAATCAATTTTCGTTTAATTAATCAAATTATTTTACCTGTTGATCAACATTTTGATCACGTTTTAAATATCGACGAAAAGATTTGCCACTAAAAAAAACACATTCAGAATATAAATGATTATAATATATTAAAAAATAATGAAAATCTATTTGACTATTATTGAAAGAATATTATCAAATATATAAAATTGATAAAATTATATTTTAGAATAAATAAAAATCTAACCGGAAAAATTGACAATGTTGACAACAACAACAATATAATGACAAAGCAATCAATAATAATAATAATGGTAAACCGAAACCAAGAATAAGTCCAAGATTTAAACTATTTAATCCAGAATTGTCATTTACATAAACTGATGGTAAAAGTATGTTGAAAAAAAAAAAGATCGATTTATCAAAAATGAAGAATCTTTCTAATAAGAAAATAAATATAATCAAACCTGTTCCTATCATTGATGTTGATGATGCTACTATTGTTGTTACAAAAGTCAACATTGTACTTTAATTGAAAATTATTTTTCATCATAAAAAACAACAAACGTCCGATGAAACTTACACTGATGTTGTAGTTGTATTTGTAGTTCTAAATATATAAAATGAATATAATTTATATATTTCATACATAGAAGTAGTTTAACTTGTATCAAAAGAAAAAAGAAACTTTTTTTTTTAAATTTTATCATTATTTTTCAATAGATATTAACTTACGTTGTCGTTCTATTTAGTATAAAATCGGTTGGACCTAAATTATATTTATATTGATTATTCTATTTAAAACTAAGAAACATACAATTAAGTGTTTGTCCAACGGGTAAAACTGTAAATGTTGTGCAGTATTGATCTGATTGTATATTATTACTAAAAGGAAAAAAAAAAGAAAATATGTCAAAAAGAAATTCAATATGAATATGATTCCTATAAAAACCTATCAGTTGCAATAGCACAATAAACTTGAGATCCAATTTGATCAATAGTTGGTATCCATGTTTCAGTAATAATCCATATATTAGTTGATCCAACTTGTAGTAAATCATTTTTATACATATTTAATGGTGATGTTCTAAATAGATCTACTATTGTTATATTCGAACAACTTTGTTGGATTGTTAATGTAAAATTAAATTCAACTCCAACACTAATAGGAGTGCAATTTGATAAATTGGAACTAACCATCGGTTTTGTAAAGCAACTAGGTTTATTAATGATTTTAATTAAAAACTGTAGAGGAATACTACTATATGGTAAATATGATGATTCTCTATAATAATCTTCAATCATTAAAGTAATTGGATAATATTGTCCAACAATAGTGCCTGTACTATTAAATGTTAATATACAGTCATTGCTGTTGAGTGTACTAGCAGGTGCTATTCCACAGACATCACCACATTCATCAAGTAATGATGTGTTTTGAGCCCAACGACAACTGAAATAGAAATAATCAATGGTTTATATTTAGTAGAAAGAAAATAAATAACCGTATAACATCATTGTTAGCATCGATCACTGGAATTTTAATATTTGTTTCAGTATCAACAAGTAGATTTATAGCTAGACACATAAACATTAAAAAAAAACAAATTTCTATATTCATGAACAAACAAGAATTTCATTCGATGTACATTTCAGATTTTTATTTTATTTTTTAGTTCTTTTTTTTTTATCAGTCTAGTCTCATTATGTATTTGTGCAATAGTGTCAAACTTGAAAGTTGAATTCAACTTTTCAACTATTGACTTTATTGCATACACAGAGATGAGCATGGGTTGCGGCTCTTTCTGGTGGGAAGACTACGTGTCCTCATGTCGCAACACTGATATTAAAGATGAGTCGCTCAGGAAAAGTTGTGTCACCCTTACATCTATTCTCGCTAAGTGTTCAGCAATATAATATGAATAGTTGAATTCAAGTTTCAAGTTTGACCTATATGTTGTTCCGAAGAACATACTTATCCTCTTCCCATAGTGGGGGAAGTATAATGATGCAGGAAAAGATTTTTTTACTACTTATCGTCTGGTAGATAGTCGGAAAGAGTTAAATAACTAAAGTAGCGAAGCATTGTTACTCATTAACAAGTAGGACAAAAACGTTTTTTTTCTCCTTTTTTGAAAAGAATAATCAGAGAAGCTTTTATTTGTTTTCAAGAATCATGAAAGTAGACTGAGAAGTCGAGTAGATTCTAAAAATAATTTTTTCTACGTAAATAACATACGCGAGATAATATTTGTAACAGGTGGTGTATTAATTAATCCATCTAATCTAATTGATAAATCAAGACAACAACCGATCGACCATCTAGGAGCACTATTATAACAACTAGAGAGAGTTGTTGTTGATATAGTAGTAGTATTCGAAGTAGTAGAAGCACTTGTTACACAATTGACTGTTTGTAGACCAATCCAAGTTGCGCCTTGAAATGCAATACAGAACTTCGAACCAATTGTTATATTTTGAACTGTTGAAATTTGACTTGAACTTAAATCAAGAATTGTACTGAAGTCAGTACAATATCCACTGATATTAAGTGCATTATAACCACCACAAGAACTATTAGATGTAACACATATTAGTTTACTAATTCCTGTTGGAATTTGAGGTGAATGATTTAAAACATAAGATTGATTACAATATGTGAGAGGACCTGATTGTCGCCATTGATATGATTGTGTAAAGATGATAGGAAGTGTTGAACCAGTTGTTGTATTATCCGTAGGTTTCCATGTTATAGTTCCACCATAGAAATGAGTTGATTCAACAAAATTTGTTAATATATATATGATTATAATCAATATGATGAAATTCATTTTTGATAAAAATAATAAAGCAACAAAATCTTTCACTTTTATCAATCAAACTTCTATTTATAAATAATCGAATATGCACTTATCAATGTTGTTCGTTGCTTATATATTTACAAAATTTGATCTTGAATAATTGGTTTTTTTTTCGAATTTCGTTTGAATAAATGAATATTTCTGATTAAATAATGTAGAGTATCGTTTTTATTTTTCTTAGTAAATAATCATAAATAGAATGAAATATAATGATGTTTCTTCAATAAATAGAAAAAACTCGAGTTGACATGAAAGGTTTTATTCTAATTATATTGGATAGATTATTATTTATTGATGAAAACGGCTTCGATGTCATTCACTATTCAACAAATCAAATCTCATGTGTTTTTCAACGCAATACTTACCATTAATTGTTTAAAAAATTCTTCATATCTCTATTAACTCTATGGAAATTCATTTACCTTGAAATAATTATTTAACTAGCTAGATATTTCGTCTTTTATAATTTATGTTGTTTTGTGTTCAAATAAATAAAGATTTATAGAGAAAACATAGGAATTTGAATTTAATAATAAAATAATGAAATTTTTTTAAAATGAGATTACAATCTATGACCAAACAAAATTCATCTTTCAAACATTATTTTAATTTTTAATTTATTTTTTTGTACCTACGATAAATTGAGATGTATACGAGCAGAATTTCAAAATTCATTCGGACAAAACAAATTCTTTGACAGATTAACGTTAGAACAATGAGAAAATATAAACAGAATTATCGTTAAAGATTGAAAATAAATCTTCTCTTGTTTTAATCGATTTATCTTTATTTTAAAAAAATCTAAACAAAATAAATTCTGAAGAGAAGACAAAAAAACTGATATTCGTCAACTAAAACTAAATCAAAAACAATATTTTTAACATTTTATACTAAGATATTTCCAAAGAATTTCTTCTAATATGGATCGTCGATAGTCGCAATAGATATCTTATCAATGAATCATCACAGACTTGGCAAACATCTTAGCAATGGCACATCACAGACTGTATATGAATAAGATCTCGTTATTATATCTGAACAATTTCCTTATTATATTTGTCAATAATTAAATGAAAGGATGGTGAAGAAATTTATCTTCTAAATTTGTGTGTAGTTTAATGAGTTTTCTGTAAGGATACATTTCTTATAAATAGAATATTATCGGTTGGAAGATTATTTAGAGACGATAAGAAAAATCATTTGTTTTTCTTATATTGATCGAATTTAAATCAAAATCAGGTTAGGAAATTTTTATTATTTGATTGGAAGATGTTCACTTTATTTTTTTGTTAACAATACCGATTAGTATTTATGTATTGTTGACGATAGTCGAATAATTATTTTTGAACATCTTTATTATTTTTAATATAAGAATAATATTTTTCTTTTGACATTTCTTGACTGCTTATATTTTGAATCTAATCATTATTTCGATAAGAAGACTTTCTGCTAAAATAATAAAAATGATCAATTGAAATAATGCTACATGTTATATTACCATAACATAGACAAGAACAGGTTTCATTAATTATTGAATGACTACATATTTATATTTTACTACGTTCTTTATAAATAAATGTCTATTATGTTTACTATATTTCGCATTAACAATCTTTCTCTATGCATTGAAATGTAATTATACCTATTGAAAAAGTCTTCTACGCAAAAGAAACGATGAATTATGACCATAGCATAGAATGTCTATTGTCATTATTTTTGAGCATGGGGTTTTATAGATCAATGTTAACCGTTACGAATTCTGTAGTTCTATCAATCAAAGAAAATTCATTTGTCTTTCCATTGATCTTATGGAAATAAGAATTTTTAATACCAAAATAAACGTTTTTGTCTACGTCAAAAATATAATTAAAATCAGATATGAGTGTTACCAATCATAGAGATAAAAAACTATTTATGCAATGCAAAACAATATTATCTTATTGGAAAATCTCTCTTGATCATATGAAAATATTTTAATTATAATGAATTGAAAAGTTACTTTATTTAATAGACACTCTAAACATCTGTTCCTATAGAAGTTTTCAAGAATATTTTCTTTTTTGATAGATATTTGTTGATTATTGATAAAATAAATATTATATTGTAATTAAGAAATATATGAATGGTTCTTGAGCCAATGCATACATAATAGATTCAACACTAAAAATAAATAATATCTATATTTATTTATTATTAACATTTAAAACAACTTGACATTTTCTTAGACTTATTCGTAAATGATAAAACTTTTACAGACTTTTCAATACTATGAAAACTTGTCAGACATTCAAAAAGCAACATTTTTAAGGGTTTGATTCGATGGAATTCTCAATCTTGCAAAATTCTATTGTTTTAAAAAGACTATGCTTTAAACAATATTTTCAATGATTCAAGATACCAGATCATATCTTATCGAACATTATCATTCTGTGACCAAATGGAAATAAAATATATATCTTAAACAAGGATCTAAACAAAGTTTCAGAGCCGGAAACGAACCGGAATTTTCGGGTTCGGTTCAGTTCGTTTTCGGGCTCTGCAAATTTCATCCAGGATTGTTATATATTCCGAGTTTTAATTGAAAAATGACGATTTATAACTTTTGTGATGAGACAATGGTGAGTTGATCTCTTAACTTACTGATGATTGAAATTATTGATTGCGAGCTAATCGATCCACTTGTTAGTATGGCTAAATATTAAAAGCAAAAATGATTAGTTTTTATAAAAAAAAAAAAACAAACTTCGAATATCGTACTAACTTGGTAATGTATTTGATGAGCTACTTTCAACAGTGAAATATGCACAACCAAGAAGACCATTGTTACAATTCAAATCGATTTTAAGTATCTTTCCCGCAAGAAATGAGGCTAAGATATATAAAAATATATAAATTTCCATAGGATTTATCAATGAAGACTATAAAAATCGTGAATCCTTATGCTTAGATATTTGACATAAACAAAAGATTATCTCGATTTGTTAATTATGGCTATTTCAGATGTTTGTATCGTATACCAATCTTCTCCTTCAGAGATAATTTTGCATTGATGACAATTATTCTCATCAATATTAATTCGAATATTTATTTATTTTTTTTCAAACATTATGAATAATTCTACTTACCTAAGTTAGCTTGATTGAGTTGAATAGTGCGTACATATAATTGATCATGATTAGTAGCATATATTATATCGACAATCGATGAATTTTGCCGATTGACATCAATATATGTAGTAAGAAATTGTTCTGAACTAGTTTCATAGTAAGAAAATGTACGACTATTACATCCTTGGCCAACAGCTAAGTTTGATCCATTAGCTAAGCGAATTGGATTGTTTTTGTTAAGTTGTACATCACCTGGACTATTTGGTTGTGCAGGAGGTAAAGTAAATGATGGATAAAAAGGATCAGTGAATGCATAAATACATGTACTTGCACGATTACCTTAAATTAATAGAATAAATAATTGAATTATTTAAGATAAGATTTGATTAAATTGATTTGTCATTATATCTCGATGTAGATTTGTTTGAAATAAAAATAATCTTAGAAATTTTTCTTTATTCTAAATAAAATAAAATGTGAAAGATAACTATCGTTCGACTAATGTCTATGAAGAAGATAAAATTATTTTCAATATAAAAACAAAAAATATTTCTTTTACTATTCAATTGATGACATAACTTCGAATAAAAAGCTGAATTACTTTGTATTATTTTTGCATTGATGATTGGAAATATGAATAAAAATAATCTTAGTAAAATTTTCATTGTAAAAAAATAGTTATTCATATAAAAAATCTTCATCTATAAACGTTGAAGAACGAAAAAGGTTCTCATAAAAGATAGACAATCTCAAGTATTTTTAGTTTTTCTTTTTTTTTTTTGTTGTCTTGTCGTCTACAACAAAAGAGACCAATTGATATGCACTATTTTGCCAACTTTGTTGTTGATAAGAAAGTCAGCAAATAAAGAATAATAACACTTATGAAAATTATCAAACGATACGAGAATTCTTTTTTTTTTGACTTGTCCGTTGATCTGCATGGATTGCAATTGATACAGATTATCATCAATATAGATTCAACTAAACAAATATGAGAATAAGTTTCGAATAAATATTGCACAATGCACTTATCAATAAAATATTAATATGTAACGTGCCTTTTTTTTTTCTAGTCAACATTGTAATTTCTAATTTAAGTAAAATAGTTGTTTTCACGAAGGAGATTGTAAGATTTACATGAAATAATATTGCAATGATCGTTTTTTTAAATTATTCGAATATATGTTTAGGATTGCAAATATTATTCTGATAAGAGGAAATATTTCTAATTTGAATATTCGCGTTAGAATTGAAAAAATATATTTATTTGTAATATAAGGTCAAATAGTTTTTATATAAAATAGATTCTCATTTATTAAATAAATTTGTAAACAATTGATTTTTCTCTTTTTTTTTTTTTAAATAAATCGATCGACAATTATTGTTTGTCTTGGTTTTAAAAATATGTTTTTGAACATATAGAATAAAAAGAAAAGTTAAATTAGACAAAATCGATTGAGTGTATATTGAATGTTAAACTATTCTAAATATCTTGATCTAAAATAATATTTGATTTATTTTTATGTCCTTGAAATTTTGATAAACCATCATTTTTAAAACAATCACTCGAAATTGTTCTTTGACCATAAAATATATGACATGAGGCTTTTAATTTTTCTCGTACTGTTTCTGATAAACGAAATTGTTTAAATGTTTGTGGAAATGCCAACCACATTCGACGTCCTTCATCAGCTAATGGTGATGAACATTGTTTACAACTAACTTTACATGGTAATATATGATCTTGAATATTTTCATCACTATTGTAAAATTTTAATGAATCTAAACCTGATAGAAAATATAAAGATGTTTTTGGAAAAATACATGCCCATTGATATGGTGCACCTTGTAATTGTTGACATC